ACTATAGGACACATTATACAGTGGAAAACATCTGGGGTTAAGCCCAGCTGGAAAGACCTTTCTTCCCTAAGCCAGAAAATAAAGACATATTGGGCTCAGTGGGACAGCCTGGAGCTCAGGAATGGATTATTGTATTGGAGATGGGAAACTCCAGCAGGGGACATGTACAAATACTAATTTCTAGTTCCAAAGAGCTTAAGAGATGAAATATTAACACTGTCTCACAATTTGCCCACTGCAGGACATTTTGGTGTGGGTAAAACTCTGGATAAGGTGAGAGAGCTCTACTATTGGGTGACTTACTGGCAGGATGTGGAGAGATGGTGCAGGAAATGCACTGTTTGTGGAGCCAGGGAAAGTCCTAAGAAAAAGCCAAGAGATCCGTTACAATCATACACTATGGGTAACTGCATGGAAAAGGTAGCTATAGATATTGCCGGCCTTTCCCAAGATCAAAGTCTGGTTTTGAATATTTACTAGTAGCTATGGACTATTTCTCTAAGTGGCCAGAGGCTTATCCAATAAGGGATTGGGAAGCTAACACTGTAGCTGAAGTACCGGTGAATCAAATGTTCACTTGATTCGGGATTCCCAGTGAACTACATTCTGATCAGGGCAGAAATTTTGAATCTGCTGTATTTCAAAGAGTGGGTCAAATTTTAGGAATTCAAAAAAATGCACCACACCATTACGGCCTCAGTCAAATAGAATGGTGGATCGCTACATTCGCACATTTAAAAACCTAATAGCTATGTTTTTTCAGCAACATCAATGTGATTGGGACAAACGTATTCCCATGGTATTGATGTAATATCGTGCAACTAGACATGAGGCTATCAAATGCACACCAGCTTTGTTGATGTTTGGACAGGAACTCCGTACTCCTTACGTGTATGAATCGCGTAAATAAGGGTAACTTCCACTGTTCAGTACAGTTTTGTTGGGCCCACTTGGGGAACCTTTATGCAGAGTTTTGCATTTTTGTTTTGTTACTGTGTGGTACTCCCAAC